AAAAAAAAAAAAATAAGTATTATTGCATGATGACTTGATCTAATTCCAGTCTAAAGAAAAGAAAAATGGCCTTGTAGTCAGCCTGGTCAGCCTTGTCTTGGCAGATATATGATTTTCATTCATTTTTTGAAATAGTGAAGAGTGGGAGCTTCCTCCCTCACTGAGCTTCAGTCAGGAACCCACTCCCTACACCAAGAGTGGGTGAAGGAGTGTGAGGAGCCCCCTGGGACCCCGCCAGACCACAGGGAGGGCCGAAAGCCAGGGAGGGGTGTGGCACTGCTGCTGCTGGCTGTGAAATGAAGCCCAGACTTCCTTACTGGTGCATATAACTTGGCCGCGTGATGTCCAAGTTCGGCCTCATCTACTGCAGACTGCTCTCCACTCTCGCTGACTTCTTTAGTTGGCCTGACTGAGGGTGGTTATAGGCGAGGGTGCACCTCTTCCCTTTTGTGCATCCACACGATTCCTAATCAGGTCTCCTATCCTCTGCAGGAAGAGAACCGGCCAGTGGGTGGGTTTTCTCTCCGTGGTTCACTGGTGTCTGCTCTGGAGGATAATGGCATTCCCGCTGGTAAGGTGCAACTTCAGCCCGGCTTGAAGATCTCAGGGCCTCCCTCCCACCCTCTCAATAATGCTCTGCTGATGAAGGACTGAGCTATGGGAGCTGAGTAGGGCTTTCTCAATGAGACCATGAATGGTATGAGTTTTGAAGCCAATTTCAGAATTAGAGAAAGGGTATGTGGGGTGTTCTTAGTGTTTTAACAATACAACTAAATAATCCTTGTCTTTAATATTCTTTCCCCTCAGTTTCTGTGCTCACTGGCCCGTAAGCTTTCATCTAAGAATAATAGCTTACACAATGCTTAAGGGTTAACAACACATTTAATATCTATTATCACACTAATTTCACAATAGCTAGCTAATACAGGAAGATAGTATTATTCCCATTTTATGGATGTGGAAATTGAGGTTCAAAGAAGTTAAACAATTTAGTGAAATCTGTGCCTGCTTTTAACATAAACATATTGGCTTCTTTGATGTGAATGAAATTGTAGATCTATGGTTAGCATAAGGGGTTGGCCAAGAGTGTCTAGCATATCACTGGCAGGCCGGAAGGCACAGGCGAGGGGGAGGGAATGGAAGAGAGGAAAAGAGGAAAGCACGCATCTGGTGAGATTCGCTAACCATATACATTTGTATTTAAGAAATACTTCATTATATGTAGTTTTGTCTGTGTCTCAGTTGACTTTCAGCCGTTTCCAGCAGAAAGCAGACATACATATTCACTCAATGATATTTTTTCCGCCTAGGAGTTAAAGGGAATGTCCAGGGAAATCTCTTCAAAGTGATTACTAAGGATGACATACACTATTACATCCAGGCCAGCAGCAAGACTGAGCGAGCTGAGTGGATTGAAGCTATCAAAAAGCTAACGTGACCAAGACCTGAGGAAACGGAACCAGGATTCCTCCCTCTTACAGGATACAGACAGGATCTCCTGGAGAATGGGAATGTGTTAAGACTTTTAACTTCTTTGTATATTTTGTACTGCTTTGGAGTGAGACTTGTGAAGAGTTCCTTAGATTATAATCAGCAGTGGTGCTATTTCCTTCCCCTGGAAATGCTAGAACAGCCATTAGGCGTCAGCATCTTGACTTTGGCCCAACATCACAGCCAGCCCTTCCTTGGGCACGGAAGTAGTTTCCCTTGTTGTAACATTAACTGGACATGTGGTAAACGAAATAAAACGCTAGTCTCGTGGCAGCTCTCTCTGAAATGCTGTCAACAAATAACTCCTTCTTTGGAATTAATAAAAATTGACATGTTTCTATTAGAATTCCTGGCAAAGCTGTATAGTTTTCAAAGGTTTCTCATGCTTGAGGCTATACGAATTATTATGCAAGCTGACTATGAAAACATCTCAAGTGATCTCTGTCACTAAGACATGCTTCATCTTAAAGTGAGGATGGTGGCAAAATTTTGGTTGAACATTCAGAGGATATTGTTTTGCTTTGAAAAATGTCTGCATAAGTATTATACATTGCAAAGAAATCATGGACTCGGAAAGATTAGTCACATATAAAAAAAGGTAAAATTACAGCTTTTCTAAGAAAAACGTCATTTAGAAAGAGATGCAGAGCAGGAGCTGCTGGAGGACAGGAGCAGGAACTCTCTAAAGGACAGAGACAGATGGAAATAGCAAAAGAATTAAGGCATGAAATTTTGGTTTTAAAGTGAACATTAACTGAGACAAATAGGTACCAAGAAGCTTCACCAGTTAGGAGGTTAATCTGAAGTAGTGAAAAGTCTGTATCATACAATATCTTTAAAAATATTTTTATTACTTTCAAGTTTATACAGTAATCTGGCACAAGCTACTGCCAGCATTCTTGCCAAGTACAAGTGCTTAGACTTCCTTTAATGAATAGATAAAGATAGGTAACTTACATTTAAGGGGAGTAGATACTTCCAAAGTGCTTAAGTAAAAATTTGTCCTCTTAAATAGTTTGAACTGTCTCCTCTTAATCTTGTCTGGAATACCTGCCCTGAATGGTCAGGTATTCCAAGCTAATGAGGTTTTACTTTATCCTTACATGGTAAGAGACTGCCTTTTAAAGCACCATTTTCCATTTGGCATTTCCCCAAGGTCTACTGTCCCTGGAATTCGTTATTGCTTTTAAAATCATCAACAGGTGTTTACTTGAATTCAACTGCATTTGGTTTGATGGCTTCTTGACTCCAAATTGGCACAACTCCACCCCACTCTGGATAGGAGCTATCAGAATCTTCATGCCTTGGAAAGTAATAACCATCACATTGAGGCAAATCAGGGAACAACTCTCACCAACATACCAGCACTTGAATTTTTAAAAATCCATTTTAATTGTTCTTGATGTAAAAGTAGCTAGGTTAAGAATGGCTGAAAGTATGGCAGCTGAGTAATAACTGTACTGCTTAGCATGACGTAGTGCTTAGCATGTTTCTGTAGGTTCCTACTCAATATTCAAACATTATCCACCTAAGTACTGGTTTGTCCTGTTTTGCTATAAAACATGAAAAAACAGTTCATATTTTTTCTTGGCCATTTTTGATTTTCAATTAATTTATGCATAAATGAGAACTAAACTATTGCTAATTTTCAGTTATATGAGTTGATACCCACTTGACCTCAAAGGCAGAATGGGGAACAGATGAAATTAATTTTTAATGAAGAGGCTTTTTGGGGAAAGATCCAAGATTTGGATAAGCTGGTAAACTGTCTTTGTCAACCTGTCCCTCAAGTTATTTGGAGCTGAGTGTGTTTCTTGTCCCCATATTTGAAAGTGATATTTTTAGATCAGCAGGGTGTATACTTTAAGTTCAGTTTTCTCCTTCATGGTATCAGTGAGGTATTAATCTTTTCTCTGGCAAGGGTCATAAATTTGTAAAAAAGTGTTATGGAATTAAGCAAAAGGCCTGCACGGCATAAAATCACTCACCATGGAGGCCACCAGTATTTCTCAATAGTTATGGCTTTTGAAGTATAAAAAATTTCAGTAAAAATTCAATTTCCCTGCCTACAGCAAACATTTAAGAATCACCTGTTATATTCTGATGACATTCTTGATGCTGCAAGCTTTATAGACTTGTTTTTTGACTCCTCAAAAAGACAATGGTGAAAATTATGTGCCAGTTTTGAGCACATCTGGACTCTCCTCTAAATATTCCCAGTGTAGCATGCCAGCTAGCAATCATGGCTCCCTTGTGGAAATGGCCATATGAAGTTAGACTTCTGGATTTAAAAAGCTAGTAGTCTGCTAAATTAAAGGGACAAACCTTCACAAATGGCCCAAACTGTCTCATCAATACACTCCTCTTTTTCAGTCCCTTTAATTTTGAGTTTAGTCCTAGATTGACCAGGATGGGTTAGGTTTAATTTTCTAAGTATTTAAATAGCTATTCTTAGGAATAATTAATATATCTAGTACTTCAAGTATCTTAAGAGATTCAATCTATGAAGCAGACCAAAGTAACTCAAGACTTTCTACACTCTGGCTACTGAAGCAGTTAACTTCAAACCATGTGTTATCTATGAAATTTATTCACTTTTATATTTATTATTTATTTACCTTTAAATCTATATACCTTTAAAATAATTAGTTTGTAAAGATAAAAATAATGGCAACATGTAGAAATATTGTTCTAATTGTGTTCAAACACATCCCTATTCTATTATAAAGAGAACTGAAGTTCTAAGTGGCACCTAGTGAATATTTTAATTGAAAAAAAAAATCAAAAGCTGGGCGATGATACTCAAAATAACTAAATTAAAGCAGCAGCATTTAAGAAAAAAACATACTTTACCACCCTGAATTACAAACTCAAGGCAAGCAGCTCAGTACACCACTGAGGACCAGTGTGATAAATTCTCCCTCATACCACATGTTGTCATCAGTCTCAAATAGGTAAAAGGCACACAACCAATGTAACTCTTTAATTGCATTTTAAGGCTTTTTTCCCCTCAGAGTCAGCTTTCACTGTGTTAAAGATAAAATTATTTCTTCTAAACCCTCCTTTTGAAAGGATCTGCTGTGTATATCTTTTGGTCACCTGTCCTTATATTTCTACATCTAGACTAAAATGAAGATGATAGAATTAGGGTCTTAGTATTCATAATGTTTTTAACTGGTGATAAGAAGGAAGAAGCCTATAGTTAAATATCCCAGAAATTTATTTAATGTTTGCTTGATACATTTTATATAGAAAGGTTGGGACTATTTGCTTTGGGCGCCCCTGGCAAATCTCATGGAGGCACTGAACTACAAAGGGGTGCCAATCTGGAGACATCAGAAATGGAAATCACAAGCCCAATTTATAACTGTTCTTAGCTTAAAGATTTGTCTCTAGTGAAATTAGGCCACTCCCTTAAAAATGTGTTGGAGCTACTGTGTGAAAACAGCTGACATTTAGGAGGGCATTTCACGTTTTGGTCTGTTGGAACATTTAAATACTTGGAAATAAAAAATATTCAGCTTTGAAGTTTTCAATACTGGAAAACTTTCAAGTCTAGGGTTTTCAGCCAAGAAGGGCTGCTTTGTGTTCCTTAAACTGGACTCTGTTTCCCACAAAGTTAATCTTCAGCTTTGGCTTCCATTTCTTCTGCATCATCATCTCCATCCACTTCTGCATTTTCTCTCTCAAGCCTCTCCAGCTGCCTCGCAAGTTCAGTCTCATCCGTGTCTGTGACCACTTTGGGCTGCAGAAGCAGAGGCATAATTTCAAAGTGAAGTAGTTAAATGGTTCACAAATTCAATTTCAATACTATTACTGCCTGGTATTTTAACTCTTAAACACTTTTCTTTCTAACAACTCTGCTTTTGAGTGCTGACATATCAGTGATAAATTCCATTAGATAAGTAATGGAAGAAATTTATGAGAACAAGACAATACAGGAGGGCCGGCTCCGTGGCTTAGTGCGCGCGCTCTGATGCTGGCGGCTCGGGTTCGGATCCCGGGCACGCCCCAAGGCACCACTTCTCCGTTCAACGCGAGGCCGAGTCCCACGTACAGCAACTAGAAGGATGTGAACCTATGACATACAACTATCTACTGGGGCTTTGGGGGGAAAAAAATGAATAAA